ATTTGTCAACAACAGATGATATACTAATTTTTATAAACCTTAGGGCAGCTTAAAATGTAGGAACATGTAAAATCATTTTTAAAAAAACACTACCTAAAAAAAAAAATTTTAAGATTGTGCAGCTTCTGTCAGGCAGTGTGTTGAAAAAAAAAAATCTGTGTCTGAAAATTGAACACAATCTGGCAATGTGGAGAGAAGTCGGAAATGTCTGACTTCTCTGCTAGAACACAGTGGGTGAGACGACTAGTCACAATAAATCAAACAATCAGTTTCAAGGAAAGGTCCTTGTTTCCCTTTATTCTTGTCTTTCGGAAGTCATTTATTACGACTAGTCAAAACAATAAATCAAACAATCACTTTCAAGGAAATATCCCCGTTTCCCGATTATTATTTTTACTCAACAGCCATTTATTGCGGCTTTCCGCAAACATTAATCATATCTGTTTGGAGTTTCCAATCTGTGCATGGCAAAAGTAAATAGGTAATCGCATGTCTAATTTCATCCATGCTGCTCTGTTCTAGTGGCCAATGAAAACCACATATCACAGTCCCTTGTGAAGAAATGGACACAGACTGCATTCTCAGCAAATTCAATTGCATACACATTCATAAGGCAGCCATCAGGAGTGCCAGTACAAACAGTCCAGTGCTAGAATTGCAGCTCAGCACTGAAGGAAGAAGCAGTACCACAAATCAATAGTTGCATATGCAATTAATCACACAAGGCACCACCAGTTCTGAAGCAACAGGCTACTCTTCATATTCTGAATCTGGAGTCCAAAACAAAAACCTGGTTTTAGACCTCAGAGCCAGAGATGTTGGACCAGATTCTATCCAAGATTCTGAAGTGGTTTCAAAAGGTAGAAGATACAACAGAATGAGGACTAGACTGTCAGCCCTATGTGACATGTAAATGAAAGATTGAATTATTGAACAGACCTGAGATCATCTTCAGCAGAGAGAAACAAACAAGAAGATAAAGGATCAAGAAAGGGAGAAAAGCAGATACAGAGGGGAGATGGAAAGAATGAGCGTAGGTGGTGACAATAAAGAAGAAGAAAGGGAGAAGCAGATTTAGAGGGGAGATGGAAAGAATGAGTGTAGGTGGTGACAATAAAGAAGAAGAAAGCATGAGAGATATTTAGAATCAGACAGAAGGTGAGAGGCAATAACGATATGAAGCGACTGAGGAAAACTGACAGAAGTCATCATCAACATCAAGTGCCTTGTCCACTGGCATGGACAATCACACCTCTCCACAACCTGCATTTCCCAACAGCATTTATCAACCCAGGTGCATGATTTACATGCCTTTATATAAAAAGGTTGTCAAGAAACTTCTCCTGGTGTCTTCCTCTGTCTCTCTTTCCACAAATCTTTCCATCTGTCACAAGAATCTCCAATTTCCCCACCTTCCTATCATACAACCAGAGAAAATAATGGCTGTTGCCTTCTGATGTTTGGGTAAGTTATCCTCAACGCTTCCAAAACATCTGGGATCTTTCTTTTCGGCTGCTAAAATTTTGTATGTCTCTCTCTCTCTCTCTCTCTCTCTATATATATATATATATATATATATATATATATATATATATATATCTATATATATATATAGAGAGAGAGAGAGAGAGAGAGAGAGAGAGAGAGAGAGAGAGAGAGAGAGACATAACAAAATTTAGCAGCTGAAAAGAAAGCTATAAATAGAGAGAGAGACAGACAGACAAACATCACATATCTGCTTACATCATCAACATCTGATCACAAAATGTCCTTCAGGGTACAATTTGAAAACTAGTGAAAACTTGTCATTCCAATCAAAATCTTGAAGCTTACACGTACAAAGTAAAAATGCTTAAGGAAGCTGTCAGATATGCCAACATCAACAGACTCTTGCCAGAATTACAGCTAACTGCTGACGCAATCATGAAGGGCATTATGAATGAACAGCCTCCCGCCATTTTTGTGGAGTCATTAACAAAGTTCATCAGCAAAAATATGCATGTAACCTTTTCATTTCTGAGCATGTTGGTAACAAACTAACGACTCAGCGCACACAATACAATATGTATCCCCAATCACAAATAAATAACTGGGAAACAGGGATATCTCCTTTTAGCAAATTGGTGAGACTGACAAAAATAACAGAAACAAATGCAAACAATGAAACAACATTGCTGGCTTTAACATTACTAATTAAAGTCAATGATCTGAGTAACTTCTAAAGCTTGTTTAAAAAACAATATACTTTTAGCGAGGGAAAAAAAAACCATGTTTCTATACTAATATATATATATATATTGTTACATGTATATATATGTGATTATATTTATATATCTAAGATACAGAAAGAAGTATAATGAAAATATATATACAGTGTTACTTTTCTCATCTAACTCATTTAACTGCAGCCACAACCGAAGCCCAATGTACACCACCTCAAATACTCAAAGCCACACTGTATACCAACACCACTAAAATGTTTACTGAAAAAAAAAATTAATGGAACAACTTTCTAGAAAAAGATAATGATACTGAAGATTAAGTGTGCAAATTAATGTGCAATACTGAAATTTTGTGCACTGAAATAATGCATGTTTTTGGTGCAATGAAAATGATTCTTCAACCACAACAAGAACATGGTGTTTTAACTCAAAAACCATGTTCTACCTGGCAATAGACAAAATGCAAGTTTTATATAGCAGCAAGCTTTACTGGCAACAGTAAATCTTTATTACTATAATCATATTTTCAATGACCAGGTAGACAGATAATTCTTTTCTAATATATTTTAAAATCTAAACAGTTAACGTCGCTATATAATCAAGGTGAAAACAATTCAGAAGTTGATAAATATTAGAGTGAAAGTTCAAATTAATGCAACTTACAAACAGGCACTTATGGTAAGCAACATTATTTGTAAAAAAAAAACATTACACAATAGATATTTCAAGGCTTCTTCCCAACATGATAACATTTAAGTACAAGAACATTTCCAAACATTTTAGTATGGCAATGAATCAACAGGTAAATATATGCATTTACACACAATAATAAAATACTTAAATATTAGCTTCGGTATCATAGATATTTTGATTATTATTTGCCTGATCTGGAAAGAGATTTAATTCACGTTCACATCTCACTGTGTTTGTTTGTAGCTTGAATGTCAAAGTGAAGTACAAACAGTGGAAGAGTGCCTGTTTGTATCATCATCATGATGTGTCATGTTGATGAACACTGGCTCTCATATTTCGTCATCTAATATTATGACCAGAATGATGGTGTTCTTGTCTTGTCCCGTCCACACAGCCAAGTTATTCAGGTATTTATCACTTTGCCTTGTCCATCCCTCTCAGCCATCAATTTTGGCAATTTATCACCAAGTTATTCAGGTATTTATCACTTTGCCTTGTCCATCCCTCTCAGCCATCAATTTTGGCAATTTATCACCAAGTTATTCAGGTATTTATCACTTTGCTTTGTCCGTCCCTCTCAGCCATCAATCTTGGCAATTTATCACCAAGTTATTCAGGTATTTATCACTTTGCCTTGTCCGTCCCTCTCAGCCATCAATCTTGGCAATTTATCACCAAGTTATTCATGTATTTATCACTTTGCCTTGTCCGTCCCTCTCAGCCATCAATCTTGGCAATTTATCACCAAGTTATTCAGGTAGAAGCCACAGAACGTACACTTCAGGTTGGTACCGTTTCCCCATAAAAGCTGTCTTCCTAATTTGCTTCACAAACACATTTGAAGATGTCCAGATAACAAAATTTAGTGCATCCATGTCCACGCAAATGCTCACTGTAACAGAAAATTATTTAATTTACTGAAAATAAAAATATGCTTATAAAAGAATGGCTCTATTTATAGAAATGACTACTTCATATTTCTCCCACTGGCTACAGGTGACAAGGTTAGAGGGTCAAGTCTCAGTGGTTACCAGGTGACAAGGTTAGAGGGTCAAGTCTCAGTGGTTACCAGGTGACAAGGTTAGAGGGTCAAGTCAGAGGCAAGCTATAATTAGTTTACAGTCCCTCAAAAGACAAAGGTCAACTGATTCACTCTGCATTTGTTTTTATTAATCACTTTCCACACCCTCTATAGTACTTTTTTGTGTTCTGAATGACAAACTGATTTTGTGCAAATTTTCCACTTGTTATATCCACGCCTGGCACTGGTGACATAATGCTGCTAAAAAAACATACTGAACAGTGCTCTTTGGGTCACAATTTAGGTATCAATCCAGCAGGAGGAAATCCCATTCAACCCTGCAATTGATTGATTGATGTTCTACCAGGACATTACAGTGAGCAATAAACACCCGGTGAAACAAAGTGCCACAATTCGGATAAGAATCACTTATGGAGAGGTCCCAGAAACCCCATTCAACCCTTAGGTTGGGTTATATTATGGCACCTGGGAATAACCTAGGTGCAGCTTCACAAAGAAAAAAAATTTTTGTTTGTCCCACATAGGGCCAGATTAAGGACGGCCAGTAAACACAAAAAAATTGGACTGTCCTGGTAAAAACAGAACATATGGTCAGTCTACTTATAATCATTTTATGGTCACAATAATTTTTTACTTTTGAGGATATATTAACATCAAATGTTTTATTAGTCTGACACAGATTTGAGTCTAGCTATTAGTCTGGCAATGTTACAAACTAATTATGTGATGACAAAAAAAAGTGTTATCCCCTGACTGTTTGCTTCAAGTTATTGCCTTTTGGTATGAAATGTACACATCATCCAGCATAAGATGGTACAGCCACAAAATTTATTTTAAAAAAAGTAAGTACACAAAATTTAGTTTCAAATTTAGAACACAACATGCCTACATAAGTTAACAAGAACTCTACAGGAAACATTAAAACCTGGCCACATGAAACAAACGACACACTGGCAGTTCCATCACAGTTCCTCATATTTGTTCTGGCGCTGTATATCATTACAGGCTCCAGGAGAAGAATAACTTAAGCTGCCCGAGTGAGCTTATTCATCCTCTTTGTCCTTCTGTGGCTTGACATCACAGGCATCGAAGAGCTCCTGGGGTGTGTAGCCGAGCAGGTTCTGCAGGTCGCAGACAAAGCGGTACACATACCTCTTACCAGCTGTCTTGTGGATGATGTTCTTATCATAGTAGTATCTGTGAAATATTGAAAACATTTTCTGTGAGAAAAGAGTTTGTTGATTAGAAGGCAAAGAAGAAAGTCAGGAGGAGGAGGAAATGAAGAGAAGAGAGAGGAGGAAGCAAAAGGAGAAACAAATAGAATAGCTGAAACACTGAAAAATAAAAAGCAGAAAAAGAAGAAGAGAAAACAGATGAAGAAAAAGAATAAGGAAGCATAAGAAAAAGAGGGGTTCCCAGTCTAAGTTTCGGGGCCCCATTGTGGTGGAAAACCAAGAAACCAACAGTTTATACAAATAAGTCACATATGTAAAACGGATGTGCAGGCAACACTCAGGTTCTGGAGCAAGTCCAAAGTCCAGAGGTAGATGAACAGCTAAAGTTTTCTGCATGAGTTAACAGCTAGTGAACATGGAGAAGAAGAAGAAGAAGAATAGGTGGTAAACTGAAAAAGTGAACTAAAAAAAATGAAACACAGTCAAAGAAGCAATGCATAAATACTAACCTCAAGCCACGACTGAGTTTTTCATAGTTCATCTTTGGTTTGTTTTTTCTGATGCCCCATCTTCGAGCCACTTCGTCAGGATCTGAGAGTTTGAACTCCCACCCATCTCCGGTCCAACTGATGAAGTGCTGGCATGTCCTGTCTGTCAACTGTTCCAGGAGAAACTGCCACAACTGAATTGGGCCACTGCCTGTCAAACAAACAAACAAATCACTTGTTGTGATTGATTGATTTGAGATCGATCCCTAAATAAGGCAACATGTATGATAGTATAATGCCAGTGTGAAACAAGAAATGCACTACGTGATCCTTTATCCTTTACATTTGACCCAAGTATATTAAAAAATCTGGCAATGTATTTTAACAAACCATACACTATTCCTATTGCAAATAGATAATTATGGTCTGAAGAAAATGGTGCTGCGAGGAGTTAGTCGCCACGGGATCTGGCCGATGTTCAAAACTCAACGGAAAAGCCAGACGGATATACAATCAGACAGTTACTGGTGCCATCGAAATTTAAACTCTTAGTTTGCTGCTGAAGATGGGGTTGAAGCATGTATGGGAGTGTCCCGAGTGCTATGATGTCAATTATTAATTCAACCTTCATCATTCAACAAGACTCAAAAATAATACGTGCATAATAAAATGGCAAACTTTCTTCTACACAACTTGCCAAAAAACCATAACAGCCATTTAAAAAAACTTGAGATAAGAAAAAGTGGAAAAGTGAATATCTTGGGTCACTTATTACCAATGGTGACACAATGAAAGAAATTAAATGACGACTATCAATTGCCCTAGAAAACTGAATAAATTATGGAGTGGGACAGACAGAACAACAAAAATTTGATTTCTAAGAGCATGCATCTTTCCCATTGCAGACCTGGACACTTACTAAACAGGCTGAATAGCACATAAGTACCTTTGAATACAAATGTTTTAGACGGGTTCTAAGACTATCGTAGTTAAAGAAAAGAACAAATGCATCCACACTTCAAGAACTCAAAACTGAAGAAGGTTGGCTATTAAAGACGCACTGAAGTTTAGAGAGAACAAAAATAAGGGTCACGTGCCTGGGAAGAGAGGAAGAGGAAGGCCAAAGAGAAGATGGGTGCAGGATTTGGCAGATGATCTCCTGATGGGTATATCGGACGCGGGACATCTTGCTTGTGATCGAGAAGTTTTCTGATAGGTTGTTGTGGGAGCAAGGTTCTGCAAAGGACAGGCTACTGACTGACTGACTGACTGACTGAATACATGAATGCTGAATTGGTTAGTCCAGGTTTCGGCATCACTACAGATGGGTCACCCCCTAACTGCTCACTTCTGTGCCAACTGAAATCGCACAAAATGTCCTTCACGGTTCCATTTGAAAAATTGTCATTTCAATCAAAATCTTGAAGCTTACTGGTTCAAAGTAAAAATGCTTAAGGAAGCTGTCAGAAATGCCAACACCAACACACTATTGCCAGAACTGCATCTCACTGTTGATGCAAATGGTTGATCATGAAGGCCATTCTGAATGAAGAGCCACCCACCATTTTTGTGGGAACAACAGAAAAAAAAATAAATTCCACATGAAATCTACAGATCACAGTGTCACGCCAAGCACTCAACTTAGTAGCTGTGTGACAGAATCTTTGAGCTCCTAGGCCAGAAATGGCACTATCTAGCTGGAAACAAATAACTGATCTAAACAGATCTGACTGTGAAATCGGTTAGTATTTAATAAAGTTAAGAAAAATCAAAGTCACTGCACTCCAGTAGAATCACCAGACAGTGTTTTCCTTGGGAAATAATAGGCAATGGAGTTTTAGCTGAATAGATTTACTAAGCTCATTTATCGTCAAAGGGAATGGCTGCGGTTGATCCGAAAATGAAGAATAAATGAACATGTAATCTAACTTGAAAGAATTATTTAACACAAATATAATTCAACAAAATGAAAAAGGGAATATAAAGCATAACTAGAAAAAAATTAACAAGCAATAATATAATTACGAAAGATAAAAAATATAATTATGAAAAGTAAGTGAATTTAAAATATTATCAGGAAAATGAATAAAAAAAAATAATTAAGAAAGATTAATCCTTCAAGGTAGGAATGTATCTACCTGAGAGATGAGCAACCAACAGTTTGCATACAAATAAGACAGATCTGTAAAATGGATGTGCAGGCAAAAACTCCAGTTCTGGAACAAGAACAAAGTCCAGAAGTGGACAAACAACCAAAACTTTCCACTGGAGTTAACAGGTGGTGAATGGGAAGTAGAAGTAGAAGAAGAAGAAGAAGAAGCAGAACGAGGAGGAGGAGGAGAAGAAGAAGAAGCAGAAGGAGAAGAAGATGAAGTAGAAGAAGACAAAAAAGAAGGAGAAGAAGACAAAAAAGAAGGAGAAGAAGAAGAAGAAGGAGAAGATGAAGTAGAAGAAGATAAAAAAAGAAGAAGAAGAAGAAAGAAGGAAAAAAAGAAGTAGACAATCCATTTTGAAGAAAAAGACTGAGGTAGGAGAAAAAAATCCTTTAGAAGGAAACTGATTCTCTTATCTTAAATAACCATCACCATCATCATGAGTCGCCCTGACGAGCTGGACTCCCCCCTCCCCCTCAAAAATGACCTTGACTCATAGATCGACCCAGCCGCGAGTGGGTACCAGGTGCAGTCCTGGGAAGTAAAGGCGGTCGGCGTGATACTGACTACATCGCCCACAGAGTTGCCGATTAGTCTATTTGTAGTATTAGAATATAGTTCTCGTCCTATATTCCCAATGCATGGAAAGGAGTCCTTTACTGTTTTCTACTTGATCATATCAACTGTCGAGACGCAAAAGGTGGAGTTACCCAGTACACTTGCACGCCTTAAGAAAAACGCCTTGTTCCAAAGAAATTGAATAATCAGAACTCTTGTGACTGTTACACCAAATAATACCCGCTGTACTCGCAATCTTGTGTGGGGAACGGCTTTTGTTATTTAACTACAAGAAATCGTCTCCTTTGCTAACACTACAATATTTCTTACATTACATCTATTTATTCTCAAATAACGCATTAGTATATATATTTTATTGCTTTGTCTATTTTCTTTATACGCTTGCGAAACCACTGCTGGTATAATGCGAAAAGTGATAAAACCGAAACAGTAAAACAACGAGCGAGAACACAACCGAACGTGTGTATATCCAACTGTCAACAAATCTTCCATCGGACGATTAAATTTTTCGCTAAAATGAAAGCCGTTTTCCGGATGTCCTGCCATCCAGACTCCCATACACGGAAACAGAGACAAACGGGGGGAAGGTGAAGGAAGGAGGCAGACCGGTATATGTGAGGACATGGTGTCTGTAAGTATTGCACACACTTCCGGACACCCTACAAGAAAGACAAGATTTTCTAGAATAATGAAGAACATTAGTAAACGAAGAAACAAAATGAACAAAGACAACAGTCGTCCAGTGACAGAAAACAGAACTGCGAATGTATTGTCAGACAAGCCGGAAATGCACCCTCTGACTCTTGCGACAGGAAGTTTAAAAACACAAGGGAACAAAATGGCGGGGAAAAAATATAAACAGCTTGATTCTTGCACCTGATTTCCTTTCAATCCGCTTTAATCATGGGGAAAAATTAACAGGAAATCAACTGGAGAGATAAAAGCCGTTTAATGTGTGGCGCCTGAACCACATTTTACAATTATTTATGTAAACAGTAAAGAAATTGTCATGTCTCACTTTGACAGATGTAAATTGCTGATCCTTTCAGTTAAACAGATATTTTCATAAGACAGGCACACGTATCGCCTGCTCTATTATATGTCTACAGACATCAGCCCACAGGGTAGTAATCCATAACGGAAATGTAAACCTGACACTATCAGTATAACTGTTCCCTTTCTGTTTCAGCAACATCCTGGCTATACTGTTTTTGGGTGCCGTCTCCGCAGTGAAGAGTGGTAGCAGTGTGTGTGTGTGCATCCACTTATTTCTTAAGTAATGTTACTAACAGTTAGGTAATGAGGACCAAACATCTTACATGGTTTCTTCTTCTTGTTCCCCGGCTGTAAACTCCGGCGGAAAGTTCTGGTTGTTCGTCCATCTCTGCACATTAGTCTTGTTCCAGAACCCGAGTGTTGTGTGCACATCCGTTTTACAGATCTGACATACATGTATGCAGATTGTTGATTTCTTGCCTCTCAGGCAAACGCACCCCGACTTCGAAGGAAGCGCCCAATTAGTCGACTCTTACGTCATGCTTGTTAGGGACGCAGTGGATCTATTCTTGTTTTCCCCCACAATGAGGCCCTGGAACCTACAAGGGGATTACAAGTTTGAGTATTGTACAACTGTACACTTTTTTTCTTTCGAAAAAAGAAGACGCGAACAGTAAACTGTGTGCGGGCAGCGAGACTGACATGAAAACAGACGCACCAGCTGGCAGACGGAAGCTTAGAAGAAGATGTATTCAGGGAATAACTGACATCCCACAGCATACGAGGCAACCGAGCGTGCCCTAACTCGGCTGACTATCATATGTTTAACTGCGTCATCCAGAGTCACAAAGCAGAGTCTTCTCCTTCATATTTATAGAATAGTAGAAGTAACAATAGTAGAAGTAGTGGTAGAATAGTAGTAGTAGTAAGAATAGTAGCAGTAGTTGTAGAAAAGTAGTAGTAGTAGTAGTAATAGTAGCAGTAGATGTAGAATAGTAGTAGTAACAATAGTAGCAGGAGTTCTAGAATAGTAGTAGTAACAATAGTAGCAGTAGATGTAGAATGGTAGTAGTAACAATAGTAACAGGAGTTCTAGAACAGTAGTAGTAACAATAGTAGCAGTAGTTGTAGAATAGTAGTAGTAACAACAGGAGCAGTAGTTGTAAAATATTAGTAGTAGCAGTAGTTGTCGAGTTGTAGATAGTAGTAGTAACAAATAGTAGCAAAGTAGCAGTAATTCTACAATAGTAGCAGTAACAATAGTAGCAGTAGTTCTACAATAGTAGCAGTAACAATAGCAGCAGTAGTTGTAGAATTTTAGTAGTAACAATAGTAGCAGTAGTTGTAGAATAGTAGAAGTAACAATAGTAGCAGTAGTTGTAGAATATTAGTAGTAACCATAGTAGCAGTAGTTGCAGAATAGTAGTAGTAGTAGTAACAATAGTAGTAGTAGTAGTTACAATAGTAGCAGTAGTTGTAGTAGCAGCAATAATGGTGACGAGAAAGGTAGTAGTAGCAGCATCGGCAAAATTAACAGCAACAACAGCTTTAGAAGTAACATCACTAAACCTAGTGTGTGTCCGTCGAGGAAAGGAACCAGGCCACTCACGTAGCTGTGCATGTGGTCTGATTACAAACACCAGACCAAAAACAGCTTTCGGAAGTCGACGGCAGCGTTGCAATGTTTTTAAAACAGAAAATGGCAAACAGAGGTAGACTTAACTCAAGAAAAATTTAAATATACACCTGGCTGCCCACGTGACTGAGAAAAACATCCTCCCATCTGGTTCTTGCATAACGGACAAATCAAGGATCCCAGGCAAACAGTCGATTCATGTCGTCTGACACGAAGACCAACGAATCTTGCCGATGTTTGTCGAGTTCACCCTAAAAAAAAAAAAAAAAAAAAAAAAAAAAGAAGGTCGGCGAAACTGCCTAACGAGGAAGGAGCCATCAAGAAGGCAGACATATACACGTAAGACAGCTTGAATAACGACCGCTAGCACCAGACGATAAACCGCCAAATTGGAATTAAACCAGGAAATCTGGGAACCTGTATTATAGCAACTTCCTTGGCGCCATAGGGATTCTGCGTTTGGCCGCTGCTTGTGTGTTAAACTGCTAATCGTCAGGGGTAGTTGCAAAATCCCGCCCACGTTTGAAACCGGTGAAAAGTTGGGCATTTAAACATTAGCGTTGACTCGTCGGTTTCATAACGACATTTTAACATAATGGGTCGACTGTACGAACACTGACAACTTAACCAAAAGCACATTAATAAAGTCAATAGTGCATCCGTTTCCTCACTTTGAGGCCTGTTCTGCAGATGGTACTCACACCGTGTTTCATAGATCAATGGGGGGAAAAACGGTAGGCGAAGTGATCAATATCGCGCCGGGCGAATTGACTTCCAGTTATATTTCCTGGTATTCGGTTTAGGTTAAGTCGACCTAGGAGTCCAGACCAATGGTAAATCTCGGTCAGGATTGGGATGTAAACCTGTTTCCCATCGTAGCTGTGCCTAACGCTCTAACCGCAGTGGCTTACACAGTTACATTACATGCTCTTAAACTTAAACTTCTGGGGTTCCACTTTAAGGGAAAAAACAAAAAAAAAGACCCACTGCCCCCACCCCCTTTTCCTAACAAACATGTCGTAACAGACGACTAATTATGAGTGTTTCTTTCAAAGTCCGAGAATATCTACTTGAGAAGCAATTCACCAACATCCTGCATACAAATAAGCCAGGTCTGTAAAACGGATGTGTACGCAAAAGTTAAATTGTGGACTAAGACCACAGGCCAGGAGTGGAAGGACATAACCTGTTGAAGTTTGAATTACTAAGCCAGTCTGAAACCCACAAGTCCAAGTCCGACCAGGCAAACATATTCGTTGTATTTATACCACGGTCAACGTCACCATCATCACCACTGTTATCATTGTCAACATGGTAACTAACATCAATATTAATATCACCATTGTTATCATCATCATAATGAACATCATGATAACATCACCATTACTATCATCATCAATTATCATAATGAACATCATGGCCAACATCACCATTGTTATCATCAATAATTATCATAATGCACGTCTGCTTGTCAGTCTAGAGGTATAGTGACTAAACCTTCCTCGAAATGTATTCTCAGTTGTTTTGGATATTATTCTGTTAAATTAAAATAAGCTACAAGTTAAATAAATAAAAACTCCAGAGAGATAAATGCATACACTATTTAATTTTTTTTTTCTGGAAAATTATATATAT